CTGAAAACTTCCGTGCACTTGTATTAAGACTGGATATGTATAAATTACTCTCCGATTAACATTTCATTGAGTTGATTGATTGGCATTTGTGTTTATTGAGTGGTCGGAACTACTTCCGGGTTTTTCACGATCGCTTTTTGACGCAGAGAAATAGTATTTTTGTCATGAAGACAAGACCAGAAAATTCTGAAAATTTCCGTGCACGTGTGTGAAGAATGTATATGTATAAGTATTCTCTGATTAACATTTAAGTGTGTTGATTGAGCGTGGCTAGCTGGGTTTGACTGCAACCTCCCTGGTGGCAGTCAGACTGCATCCTATTCGCATTGCACCAGTTCTTCCTCCTGCAGGTGTATAGTCCAAAGTACATAGTCTTGATCTTTCAGCTGAGGCTTCAGGCAAAGTGGGGTTAAGCCAAGCCCCGGCGATCCAAGATGACGCCCTATTCAAATGAATGGTTGGGCTCAGTGGCGCTTTGTGACGGCATGGGGGCTGAAAGATTAGCGGAAGTCGCCTGGAACTCGCAAAGATCTATGGGAAACTCGCAAAGATCTATGGGAAACTCGCAAAGATCTATGGGAAACTCGCCTGTATTTGGGCATCGTCTGGTCCTCCCGGTTCTGCGCAGTGGATGATCTCCCATAATGCGTTGCGCCAAACACGCGTGTGTGGGTCTCACACCGGGTCTCACGCACGTGCACAGAGGGGCTCGGCCGCGCTCTGACCAATCAGAGCAGTTCATCAGAGCGGGAGTTAGAGCGGGAGCCAGACGGGCAGAGTTTGTGGCACTAAAGTGTGGATTTAAACAAAACCGAAGGATTTAAGAAGAAAAAAAGTTCAGGATGACAAGGGACACTAAAATCCTCACAAAATCCGACCTTTGTTTAAGCTGTAGGTTCTCTGTCAGCTGAGGTCGCGCTATTTTAATTTACATTGAGTTCTATGGGGAAAATTTCTGGGTACCCCATGTGAATTTAGTCTGCTCTAGTCTGCAGTACTGCGAGAATCCCCCGAGCACATGAGTTCTTCAGCTCCAAGCTAGTAATACCCTATTCAGTTATTATAATAGATCCATGGGTTAAGTCCATGGACACAACGACGTCGGTGGGAAACGGTGGAGAAGGTCATGTGGTGGGCTACCAACTGAGCCAGTGTCGTTCCTCTTACTTATTACCATGTAGTTCCATTGTACTCACAGACCGAGGCTCCTATTAGCGTCTTTTATGTTGGGAATAACACCAGGTTTCCAGATCAACTTTTGAGTAGGTCCCATTTCATGAGGTAACCGTAATTCTGGAAAAGTCTTTGATGGTGTCACCGCCATTCGCAAAAAAACATCTGAAAGTTTTGTTGCGGATTTCAGACTTGCGGATTCGAGGCAGATCCCTGTGAACATAGTCGATCCCCATTCTCCGTTTTCGGGTCAAATACTGTCATCACATATTTACACCAAAAACTCTCCAAGTCGCATGAAGCTAACACAAGTAAGAAAGTAGTAAGTAATTACTTTACTACTACTTACTTACTTACTTACTAACACAAAAAAGCAAAGGCGAGTATTTACAGTCTATGGAGCAGACACTAGAGTCGGAGAGAGGCTGCATGCGCTGACCATAGACGGTGCTGATTCGCTGGTTCTGTTTCTCCTCGTTGTCAATCACCTCTTGGAGGCGGGCTTTTGTTGTCACACAATTTGAAACGAGCCATTTCTGTGCCTCTTGAGAATGAAAGAGAAAGATCGAAGAGTCCATAAAAAAACTACTCTGGTCATCTGTATGAAGGGCAAATAGCACTGTAACCATATTTAAACCAGAGAAAAGTCAAAAAAATTTGTAGAGTCAAGTAAAGTAAAGTAGAGTAAAGTAAAGCAGTGCTGTGGAAACAGGGCTTCCTATTTCTAAGACATCTTGGTAATGGCCATAAAATAGTTTTGGTAATTTCTAAAATGAAATTACATTCTTTATAATCCCTCTAGTGCGTGTTGGGAGTTACAGGAAGCTTTGACTGCAGACGCTGCTCCCTTTGATGGCAGAATAGGGATCCTGTGGGCGTAAAGCCTTTTTAGCCTTAATTCTTGTTTCATTTCACCGTATATTTTCTATAAGCATGACACAATGACAAAGTGAATATTGTCAGCTCTGGTTTAGGCCCAGACCACATTAAGGGAATATAGTTCTCTCTCCTCAGAATCTCATAAACGCAGCTATAACTATAATCTGTAGCTGAAGAATGTCATTTTCTTTGAGTGACAGTTTTATTGCAGCAAAAACAAGTCCAAGCATTCGCCTCGAGGACGTTTCCATCTCAGCATTAAATATCGGCAGCAGAACTGTGAATTCATATTCTGCACATGAGAAAGAAGCAAGGCCTACATCCACATGGACTAGAGGCCACCCAGGGTATTGCAGCCTACATCCACATGGACTAGAGGCCACCCAGGGTACTGCAGCCTACATCCACATGGACTAGAGGCCACCCAGGGTACTGCAGCCTACATCCACATGGACTAGATGCCACCCAGGGTACTGTAGCCTACATCCACATAGACTAGAGGCCACCCAGGGTACTGCAGCCTACATCCACATAGACTAGAGGCCACCCACAGAACTGCAACCATGGTGCGAGCACGAGCCATTGAGAACAGGCCAGACCCAGACAAACCCATGACCAGACCCATGCGCCATGCATCCAGATCTCTGTTGGCGTTGTGTATGGTTTCCTCTAGAAAACCTCTTTACAGGATGGTCCAAAAGTTGGCTCTTGGCCCAAAGCTACATTCCAGACATGTGTCAATGCTGAGGGGAGTATATTTTTTTTTTAGCCGCTGTGGACTTCAGAAGGGACGTGTTAAATCAATGGGGCTGGTGCCGGCTAACACATCCACAAATGCGTTTTTTCACATTTTCTTGCGGAAGGTGCTCCCTGCGGTCATATTGAAAAAGCCCCATAGAAGCCAAAACGATACATTAGTTTCAATGGCGGAGATAGGCCTGACTACATCCATTAATATTTACTGTCTATGATCAGAAACCAATATCACCAAATCATGTCAATGCAATAACATAGTTATCTTGTCTGGTATAAAAGAACAAAATCACTTAATCTACTGAGAAGGCAAGATTAACCTTCCTAAAGTGAGGACCAGACCAGACCCAGATATGGATCCAAACAGTTTTAGAGCAAGGGAATAGTGATAGATTTGACTGCAGAGTTTCATTGTTGTGACAGAGTCAAAGCCAACAATATGACAAATACAACTACATGTACTGAGTATGAGAATGAATGAAGTTTTCATTTTCACCACTAACATCACTTTAAGATTATAATATACATAAAGATATAACATCTCCATAGCAACACCTGTGCACAAGTGACGACTCGGTCAGAAGGCTGCACTAACACTGCATTCTCTCAGACCAGCTGGGGACTGCACCAGGTGGTCTGGTTGATTGTGGGCCACATAAAGTACTATATAATCACATATTTTTGAGTGTGCGAAATATTTGAACATTGAAGCAAACGGATCAAAGATTTATAATAAAACCACTGAAATAGCACACACTGTTGATCTACAATAACAAAGAGAGAGAGAACACCTATGGTCATACCTGTAGGTGAAAGTTAGATTGCATCAGCCTCGGAAGCTAGGCAGGACGGAGCCTGGTTAGTGCTGTGATGGGAGACCTCAGGAAACTTTGTGTGTGTGTGTGTGTGTGTGTGTGTGTGAGTGTGTGTGTCTGTGTGTGTGTGTCTGTGAATAATTGGTGGGGGTTGGAAGGGCCGATAGCACAGGTTGATTGTTTTGCTTCTTACAGTGTGTCCCAGGGCAGCTGTGGCTACAGTAGAAGTTGAAAAAAATGAGGAAATGTGTTATGTCTATGATGGGGAGAAGTGTGGACTCTGATGAGGGCTGGACCAGACCCAGAAAAACAGATCTATTTGTTTCAATCTGATGAGCCTGAACGAGAGAAGACAAACATGTACATTCTGATCCCAGTTTGGTACTATACTCCACATAAAAACAACATTAACATTTCATCTTTAGCCTATTGTGTTCATTTGAGGACGTAAAAATACTGCTGCTAATGTACAGATGCTAACATATGACTACACATTGCTTGCAGTAGAATACACAGTACTTTTTACTTGCCTCTTATTTTGCCAAATGAAAAACTTTTATACTTATTTTTTATTATTATTTTTAAGACAGATGTTATACTTGTTATGCTAGGGTTTGAGATGTGTTTTATTTTAATTAGTATAGCTATTGTTCACTTATCTTGTGCTGTGTGCTCCTCTTTCCTACTGTTCTATAACTTGTGATGCAACACTGAAATTTCCCCACTGTGGGACGGATAAAGGATCTCTTTATCTTAATCTAATCTTTATATTCTCATGGGACTTCATAACTACAGACTGAAGCCATGTTTCCACTAGCCCTGCTCACGTACAAACACGATCATTTTCTATTTTGTGACACAAAGTAATCCAAAAGTAATGTAATGTAGATACTTTCTTTCAGAAGTTACAACGTAATGCAACTAATTACTTTTTTGTTTTAGAAGTAACTAGTAATTTGTAACTAATTACTTTTTCAAAGTAACTTGCCCAACATTGCATACAAATGATGTTGATGACTGGATTCTAAGCTTTACAACAAGGTATAGCTTGACTATCTTTTTAATTCCTCAATAGCATATTTATGTTAGAGGCAAAAGGCCATATAAAACATCTCAGCGACCGCATATGGCCCGCGGGCCTCGGTTTCGAAGAGAGTCGTAAGAGACTACAAAAATGTATGGACTTTGGGAAAAAAGATTATAAAGAAACGTACATTGGAACAGGTTGTAAACCTAATCTAGTTTTTCCTACATCAAAATTCCAAATCTATATGAAAGCAATAATTCTAATCTCAGTTTTAAAGTTGAATGAAAACATTAAGACATAACATCAATAACCACATTATTATTATTGTGTTAGTCTGAGGTACGTGCACGTACCTGTACCCTCTCGCGCACCTGTCCCGTGCGTCGCCGTGTCCTCTCGCTCGCAAGTCCAGGTGAGCTGTGCACGAGCGCGTGATTCAAGTGACCCCTGCGAGAACAGCGCGCTCCTCCACGAGAGCAGCAATCAAGCGGCGGGAACGTGCATAGCGCATCCGGTGCACGCCTTCATAATAAGACCAACGTGCATGCGCCGTCATAATAAGAGCCACGAGCTTAATGCAGTCTGACCATGAGTCTGACACATGTCTATATTGTTTCATATTGTCACAAATGTTTAGTCACCAAATACAGTACACAAGTGTCATACAATCAAAAGTCTAAGTCAACTGGTTACAGTGATGAGACTACTTAGGCATTTAACCCAAATTAGAATGAGTCTGGTGTGTGTGTGTGTGTGTGTGTGTGTGTGTGTGTGTGTGTGTGTGGCACAGACTGGTTGCCTCACTTCTGTCAGTGTGCCCCAGGGCAGCTGAGGCTACAGTAGTAGTTTATCACCAATGTGTTTGGAGTTAATGAATAACAAACAAGCGCTAAATAAAACCCATGTATTGTTGTTATTATTATTATTATTAGTATCATTATATTATAATGTGTCTATGTAGAACTGAAGTTGGCTGAATGATACTGACTGGGTGTGAACCTACTTTGTGTGTCTGAGTTTGGACATGTCTGCTCCATCTTTGTCAATTTCATACTGAATTTTTCTTCTTAAATATGTAGAATGATGCAATTGAATATTGGGGGTAAAGGGTTCTTCACTGTTTGGTACTAGTCTCATCCCGCCACTGCATTCCAGCAGCAGCAAAGGCCTCGAGGATCCGGACTCCTCTGAACCATCTGAACCCTGGGGAGGTGTGCCCTCTGCTGGAGTCAGTCTGCCAGTGCAAACTGGGGTCTTTCAGACCAGAGCACTGGTCTCGGGTCTCAGTCCTGAGTGGCAGCAAAAGTTTTCATTCCAACCAAACAGGACTCACCAGACTCCACCCACTTCCTCAAGTCCTATGCCTCGGACTGGACTTTTTGAGGAAATGGGTGGAGTCTGTGCGCTTCTGCTTGGTTGCAATGAAAAGCGGTAGACTCACGGCCTTTGAGGAGCGAGTTGAATAGTCCTGCATTGGAAGGTATCAAAATCCCTGTTACCACCAGCCCTACTAGTCTACTTTACTCTACTCTTCTCTACTCTACCCCAATTGGGAGTGTTTCTGCTGACCTTGTTGAACCTGTACCAGGCCCTTCTTGAGTCCATCTTGGTCCTGGTTCTATCCAGGCTGAACTGGTAATGAGGTGATTGGCCAGAGTGTTGCTGCAAGCCAGGTTTCCACTGAATTGTTCTGTTTTTTTCAGCTTGTTCTGTCTCATGACTCCACAAACTGGACGTTTCAGCATTACCCTGATCACAGGGAACTTTTATTACAGTTTGTACTGTCAACATACTGCAGCCACCGTTACTATTGTGTGTAACATTCTAAACCAAGGACATACAAATAGACCGAAAGTTTGTACACACCCTCTCATTCAAAGAGTTTTATTTTTATTTTCATGATTATGAAAATTGTAGATTCACACTGAAGGCATCCAAACTATTAATTAACTCGAATGAGGAATTGTGTACATACTACAAAAAATGAAACAACTGAAAATATGTCTTATATTCTAGGCCACGTCATCTGGACCAGCATCCATCACTCTCCTTATTGGTCGAACAGCCCTTACACAGACTGTGAATCTACAGTCAATAGGTATGAAAAGAAAGAAAACTTATTGAATGAGAAAGTGTGTCCAAACTTTTGGTCTGTACTGTACATACCAGCAATTCCTATTGCTACATCCCTAATCTTTACTTATTGTTTATATTGTTAATTTAAAGTGGTACTATAATTTACGATGCTGCTAACTACAATATGTGTTTATGATATTTCTGGTGTTCATTTTGACATGTTCAGATGAATTATGTTAAAAAGACGGCTTTGAAGTGGCACCTTTTAACAAACGCTAGGGAGCGCCGAAATTGCAGCGTCGATGTGGATGATTGATCCTTCACAGCAGTCATGGCTGGAGTCTGTATGAGCAGCGAGTCAATTGATGATGAATCTGGGGACGAATCTGAGGTTTCACTGTCATCTGAACAATGTATAAACATATTTTCATCAGTTTTGTACATAATAGTGTGCAACTCTTTTAACCTTTTAGCTTTATTTGTGAGATTCAAGATAATTACTTTGCCTAACAGTGTTGGGCGAGTTAGCTACTTGAAATCAAGATATCCTAAAACATGCTAACAAGGATAATATTCGTTTTTACATTATGCCAGTCTCACTGTGGTTGCCTTTGATTTATTTACCACAATGTACATTGTAATATCCATAAATGCTAACACCTATTAACAGTTTAATTAACATTTTTTTCAATGATTGCATCACATGTAGTTATCATGTTAGCTCTTGTGTTTGTTTTCAACTTCAGCAGCTTTGTGTTTATATAGTATGCTCATAAGAGTAAAATATTTATTTAATTCAAGTTATTTTGATTTACATTTTTGGATATTACAATGTACATTGTGGTAAATAAATCAAAGGTAACCAAAGTGAGACTGGCATAATGTAAAAACGAATATTAGCCTTGTAAGCATGTTTTAGGATATCTTGATTTCAAGGGCAAGTAATTAGCTTGAATCTCACACATAAGGCTAAAAGGTTAGAAGAGTTGCACACTATTATGTACAAAACTGATGAAAATATGTTTATACCTGTTCAGATGACAGTGAAACCTCAGATTCTTCCCCAGATTCATCATCAATGAACTCGCTGCTTCTACAAATTCCAGCCATGACTGCTGTGAGAGATCATTCTTCTACGTCATCGCTGCTATTTTGGCGCCCCCAGCGTTTCTAAACGGAAGTGAAATAGTGCGACTTCAAAGCCGTTTTTTTAAACAAAATTCATCTTAACATGTCAAAATGAACACCCAAAATATCATAAACACATATACACACGTTATATATTCTGGATAGCAGCATGATAAATTCTAGTACTACTTTAAGTAAGGATTGCTTTTCTACTTACACTTTAACCTGCAGCCACAATTAAAACTTTATTAGAAATGTTCCTTAATAAAATAACAAAGAATTACCTGAAATGTGTCAAACACTGAATACACATTCTCTAACAAGAAGTGCAATACCAAACAGTGAAGAACCCTTTACCCCCAATATTCATTTGCATCATTCTACATATTTAAGAAGAAATATTCAGTATGAAATCGACAAAGATGGATCAGACATGTCTCGGTGAAGCAGAGGACACAAGATGAAGAGAAGTCCTTGTTTCTTCTCATCAGCAGGCCGAGTTTGTCCATCTTATTGCACAGTGAGCGTACGTTGGAGAGAAAAATACCGGGTAGTGCCATGCGCGCTCGTCTTCTCGTCAGACGCACAAGCACCCCGCTGCATTTCCTTCTTTTACGGACTCTCACTTTTCTGGCTAAAACATGAACCAAATCAGCTGCAGACGGCAAGAAAACAGGCAGTAGGTCCATGGGGATGGTGGGTCTAATGTTCAAAAGCTCCTTACGGGTGTAGGAGTAGATGGAGACACTATAAAAAAGTAAAAGCCTGCACCTTCTCTGGGTCTACTTTGAGTCCCTCTGCGGTGAGAAAATGTCCATTGTATTGGACCTCCTCTTTTTCTCAGTTTGAGTTTGTCTGCGTTCAGTTTTATGTTTTTCTCTCTGTATCTTTCAAGGAAGTCTCAATTTCTTATTATTATCTCTCACAGCATCCTGCATTGTCTCACCTTCACCTGTGATCAAGATGTCGTCAGCGATGATAGATAGATAGATAGATAGATAGATAGATAGATAGGTGTATCATTGATCCCCATAGGAGAAATTCAGGTCAGCAAAAACGCATCCATGCACACAAACAAAAGAAATAAATTTATCATTCTAAAAAGCATAAATAGTAATAATAAGAAACAGTGCATCAGGTCACAGCAGCAGAGGCAGTGCAGCCCCTGGGTGGAGCAGGACGGGCCAGAGCAGCAGAGATGGTGGAGTCTAGGGGTGGAGCAGGACAGACCACAGCAGCAGAGATGGTCTAGCTTCTGGGGGGGAGCAAGTCGGGTCAAAGCAGCAGAGGTGTAGCTGCTTGGTTCTAACCATTTTCTCTACTCTGGTCCAGTGGATTTTCGCCTGTTCCGTCTGCCTCGGACCGCCGTGTTCCACCTCTACAAACTGGACGTTTGAGCATTACCCCTCACAGGGAACTTTTATTGACAGTTTGTGCTGTCAACATACAGCAGCCACAATTACCACTGTGTGTAGCAAGTCCAAGTCCGGGTAGGAACCAAGGACATACATGTACATACAAGCAATTCCTATTGCTACACCATATACTTGTTGTGGGAAGTGGGATATGATACCAGATAGTAAAGCATAATAGAAATGCAACCAGGTAGAGAAGTGTAGAGTAAATTAGAGTTGAGTAGAGTGTGGTAGAGATTAAAGTAATATAGTAGAGTATAGGGCTGGTGGAAACGGGGAAATTCAACCTAGAGAGACCAAGACAGACACATGCATGTAGAAAGATTAATTTTTTTGGCGCATTGACCCTGGCAGGGACACTTGCAGAGGGGAGAGCACTGGTGGTGGCTGGCGCATATTGTGAATGGGGCGTAGGCGGAGCAGGAGCAAGGGCTGGATCCAGGGCAGGCGCCAGAGCTGGGGAGGCGCTGGTTAGTAGGAAGTGGCTGCTTTTAAACTGCCCGCTTAGCTGTCAGTAGGATGGCAGGGGGGCTGGCCGAGCTGTGTGATGGCTGAGGCTCGAGAGGCTGGCCCTGGATGGGTTGAGAGCTGCAGCAGAGGTCTTCCCAGTCAGAATTTTAAGCTTTATAAGTAGTCCTTATAGGTATGAATTCATCGAAAGCCCCACCTACCCTACTAAATGCTGTATACTTTTTTTTTTTTAAATGCTAACAAAGCATTCATCATCTCATTTTGGACTAGAACAGAGAAAATGGTCCGAACCAAGCAGCTATACTCCACCTCTGCTGCTGTGACCTAAAGTGTTGTTGGATCAATAAAGTATCTATCTATCTATCTGTCAGGGGCACATGTTTTTGATACCAAGATTTTATCTGTTTATTATTTACTTTTAATTGTGTGCTTTTAACCTTATTTCAAGTTTTAAGGCATTGGACCAATCATGTGAGGGAATTGAATGGGGTAAGCAGAGCCGTGGCCTTTTTTTTTTTTTTGTATTGTTTAACCACATTTTAAGGAAAATCCTTTTATGCACATGTTTTATTAATTTTGATCCCCTTTTTAAACTATTTTACTGGCTTAATATGGTCGCACCTTCCCCGCAGACTCTCAGTAGACGTTTTAAACCTGTGACATTTATTCTACTCCGGTCAGTGTTCCGTATGTTCTGAGTTATTTGGATGCAGCTTTCAGCAGGACTGCGCGGTAGTATTTTATCCTGCAGGGGGCACTGTTGTACGCGAGTCTAGGGAAAACAGGCTTTCCTCAGAGCCTCTGTATATGCCTGATACATGTTATTCTTACATTGGTTTGTATGTTGTATGTGCGTTTTAGACATTTAACCCATGCATGCATGAATTATGATAGGCTTCTTCAAGATTTCCCCCCCCCCAAGTGTTTTAATTACTC